ATTGCTGAAAACCTCTTTTATTTTCTGCGATGGTTTCAGGAGGGGGCGCCCCTGCCCTCGTGAAATTTTTAAAAACTAGAAGCCCGGAAACGCCATTTCCAGCCATCTGAGACAAGAAAAATGGTACTGATTTTGTAGTGATAACTTGTCATGGAAAGAACAAAGGAAACTATAATTTGATTAAATTTGCTGGTGTAGCGGACAACACATTAAGTGAAGAATTAATCACTTTCATCATGAACCTTAAATTATAAGGTATATGCTTTCAGCCATTTCTCGCCCCTCGAGACTACATTCACTCAAATATAGAAATCTTGCATGTGGGCAATTGCGGGACATTTTGCTTTTTACCCTTGGTTAAATGGTCGTCTGATTTGAGCAAAAATGTTAACATTTTTTGTCTGGATAATTTTTCTTGGCCGCTATTGGTTAATTCACTTTATTAGTTTAGATTCATTATTTATCGCCCGATTTTTATAAAACAAAGTTCGATTTATTCTCAAGAAGGCGCAGTTTTTGACCGTAACGGATTAAAGGAGGTCGTTTTCGACGCCTTCGTGGGCATGGTGTGCCCCCACTGTGCCCACTTTTGAAAAATTAGGGATTAAGTCCAATTAAGAATAAAGTGGATTAGTGTATTAAGCGGATTAGGATTAGTTGATAGTGGGTACTTGGAACGCAAAAAATATAGATATTACTGTATAAAGTTGTTTTTTTATTTTTCTCTGTTTGATATATCATACATCACATTTTACAATTCAATAAAAAAATATAACATACAAATTAAAATGGGATAAAATATGGCAGAATGACTTCTGTGTGCCCTTAAAAAGACAGTGTAATGTGTGCTGAACATTATTCATATAATATTCAAGTGTAATCATGTTTTCATAAAATTCATCAATTTAACGATTAGAGTGAGTTCATCTCACCAATCATAAGACTGAATATTTAGTCACTTCCAGTTTACTTCTGCAAATGCAGGTGAGCTGTAGTTCACATATCAGGAGATATGACTTTGTGCTAAGTGCTGACCACACTAATTAATCCCTTGTTAATCTCTCTTTTGTTCCCTCGTTAACGTTTGTTAATCCCTCTATTGTTCTTCGCCTGGGTGAAACTTGTTTTGGTTTTGGGCATATTTATGTCTTTTCTTTGGTGGTTCAAGTCCCACGGCATTCTGTGCAATTCTAATTTCATTAATATTTTGCTCTTGTTGTAAAAATGCGATCATTTCAAAAACATTCGGATGAGCTTTAACAACTAGCTTCCTGATCATTGAATGACAACCTTCCAGGGTGAACACTACTTTAATGATTTGATGATATTCATCATTAGTTGCCAATTGGTGAATAAAATTCAGAGTGAACATAAATTCATAAAATTGGGTCCTAATAAGAACATGCCTCTCTTCAAACGAAAGCCGACAAGTCGATATCTGCGCCTTCGTGGGAAGGATTAATTTTGGTCACGCTCTGTAACGGCGCCTTCGTGGGAATACACCAAAGGTTCATATGTGTCATGATGCAAATTCTCTTTTTTTTCTGTCTATCAGTAAAGGTTTTTTTCATCGGCACCAGATGTGATGCAATTTTGCTAAAAACTTTAATTTTGACGAGTCGGAACGTCTTTTCGCTAGCAAATGTTAATTTTTGCAAATCTGATAGATCAAGATAATTGCCTCTACAAAAGGCTATAAAAAGTCGGACTAAGTTTTTTTAATTTCGGTTTTGTTTTTGTGCCATTTCGATTTAAAGGTGAAATGGGTGAAAAAAATAAGGTATTTACAACCCATTCAGGATTTTCATATTTTAAAATATGTGTATTTCTTCGCAACTTTCATAAACTTGTAACATTAATCCATACGAAGACAATGTATGTGAACTTTAGTTTGTAATATGAGAAGTTGCCACTTTTGATTAGGTAAAACCAATTTAACATTTTCACTGTCACCGAAGGGACACCATTTTGTCAAAACCTTTAAAAACAATATTTTTTTCAACTAAAATTTATTTAATATATGTTAAGAATTTTAACTTTTGGTTTAAATCAACATGTTAATAAAATTCATACGGACATATAGATACCACAAAATGGTTTCTAACTTATTCATTTGCTGTCAATTATTATTCGATTTTCATAAACTTTTCACCATGTGATGCCTAATGTGATTTACGATTTCATAAAGGTAATTTAAGATTTTCATTATCACGGGAAGTAATGTCATTTTGGCAAAAACTGTATTTTTGGCCTCCAAAACAATTGTTTTGGTGTAATCAGTTCTATTTATTATTCGATTAAAATTATGATATTTGATTCCAATGGACAAATATAATAAATCAATACGATCATATTGATATCTCAAAATCGTTTCTAACAGTTTAGGGGTTCTGGGTTAATTAAGTATTGCCTGATTTGTGTAAAACAAAAGCTCGTATGCTCCGTGTGTCAAATTCTCAACTTTTTACTATCGATAAAGTTTTATGTCTGCACCGAAAGTGACGTAATTTTGTCCAGAACTTCAGTTTTGACGCGTCGAATGGTCTTTTCAAAAGAAAATATTAATGTTTACAAATGTAAAAGATCAAGATGAATGCTCATTACTAAAGACGCAAAATGTTTCGGGCTTACTGTTTTTATTTCGGTTTTGTATTTGCGCCATTTTGATTTGAAGATGAAGAAAAGGTAAAAATGAGCTATTCTTTAAATGGCATTTAGTAATTGGAACATAATCAAATAACACACTATTTATGGATAACAATTACTGTGGTTTATTTCACTGCGACGTTTCAACAAGATTTCACAAGTCGTTTTGTGAAATCTTGTTGAAACGTCGCAGTGAAATAAACCACAGTAATTGTTATCCATAAATAGTGTGTTATTTGGTAAAAATGAGCTATTAACAATGCATTCAGGCGTTTTATTTTTTTAAATATTTCTTGACAACTTTGATAAACCTGTAGCAATAATCCCAACGAAGACAATGTATGTCAAAATCAATTTGTAATATTATCAGTTGCCGAAAAATAGGCAATTTTTCAAGAGTCACTTTTCACGTTATTTTTTGCCTGTAAAGGAGTTCATTATTATCAGATTTTCGACTTTTTTCACCAAGTGATGCCTAATGACACTTTTGTATGTACGAAACCAATTTCACATTTTCAATATCACCGGAAATGGCGTCATTTCGGCAAAAACTCTATTTTTAGCCTTCAAAAGAAATATTTTATTTAACTGAGTCACATTTGTAATTTGTTTATAATTAAGATATTTGCTTACATTGAATAAATAGAATGAACCAATGGGACATAATAGGTTGCAGGGAAATAGACGATTTTCTACAAGTCACTTTTCAAGTTATTTGGTCTATTCAAGTATCAATTATTATTCGATTTTTATCAAATGTGATGCCTTATGCCATTTATGATTTCATAGAACTAATTTAACATTTTCATTATCACCGGAAGTAATGTCCTTTTGGCAAGACTGTATTTTTAACCTTCAAAACAAATTTGTCAGGATCACCTTTTAAGATTTTTTTCGCATTTAAATTTTCCATTAGAAAGTCAGTTAACTTAGCGGTAAGTTAGTAACAAAATTTGTCATTTGTAACACATGGTAACAAACCCGTCATTACTGCATCGCTGTTCTAGTTGCAACTGTTTTTGGATTACGATTTCACTGTGCACAGTATTTTTATAACTTACGTGGAAGATTTATATCGGGGACATTAAAACGACGTTTTATGTTTCTCATTTAAGAAAGAATAAAATGCATGTCCTTAGAAAAAAACATAATCACCAAGTAATTAATTACCATGAAAGTAAATATAGTCACAAATTCCAACGATAGCATTAATTGCAATACTGAGATACATAATAGTACTGTCTTGATAAAAGATTTTAATCCCAACCTCGTCTTGATTAAGACGACCTTAACTTTTCTTCTTGTCTTTGAAATTCTCGAAAAAAAAAAACAATTACGTGTGTCTCCCGGTGACGTATTGTGATGGTTATCCAATGAAGAGGTATCTGATAGATTAAGAACAAAAAAAAGGTTAATTGGCTAAGTAGATTAATGACGAGTAAAATTTTATAAGACATATGAGAGACTGGTGATAGAAATCACGACATCTACCTGACTCAAGTACAATACTCACTTCCATTAGAAAGGTTTAAATATACGATTCGTCATGTTTTCCAGCACGATATAATAACACTAGAATGAATTATTCATTTTACTATATGTACGTCGGCACTCATATAAATAATAAGTAGCGCCTGCTTCTGGATACCAATTCACCCGATATAGATACAACAAAAACCATTTGCCAACCGCACGCAATCTTGACGTTAATTTCTATTTCCGATTTAGAAAGGTGTAGGAGAGGTGAATTATGGTTTTTCTCTACGGTAGAATACATTATCACTCTATTTTCCCTCAAATTAACTCGAAGAATATTCCCAAACTTTTAGTGTTCCAGAGTGGATTGAGATATATAATAGTGTCAGTTGTTAATGGGGTTTACCTCAAATCTTTGAACTGTGCGACAAATTTAATAAATTTCTCAGATTAATAAGAATTTAAGTTGAATAGCGTAAAAGAAAACTTGTGTTGAAATTTCTGAAACTTGTGTTGAAATTTCTAAAACTTGTGTTGAAACTTGTGTGGTTTCAAACAAACTTGTGTATAACCATCAACAAAAACTTGTGTTGTATTTTCCCCAAATTTTTATCCAGTATAGCAACCTTTCCCATTCAGCACCCCTCCTTTTGCTCCGTTTAACCTGTAAAGTTTGATAAATGAAGTAACAATAATTATTTTTGTTAAATTATTATTTATTCATAAAATGATAGGAAAAAGTAAATTAATACCAAAACTAAATAGACATTTGGAATGTTAACAGAAAAACAGAAATAATATTAATAAAATTGTGTTATATAATGATCAAATCCCCCCCCCCCCCATCACAAAATATAAAATAGGTATTTAAATTTTTCTTTATCCTAAAACAAGTACTGAGAATATAAAGACATGTACACAGTATCCCTACCCCACACCCAAAAAATATATAATTCAAATATATCTAAATTTAATAACATCCAAACCAAGCACTAATAAGATAAATTATGCACTATTTTGCAGGAGTAATAAAATGATGTAGAACCCTTTCCTTATTAAAAAAAAGACCAACAAAATGAATATTTTGTACATAAAAGGAGCAAAGCATCAAGATTGCAGGATTAAAATATAAAAATATCAGAGAAAATGGCAAATATTAATTAATATGTACAAAATATTTATATACAATTACAAGTCATAAGCAGGGAGGGGGGGGGGCACTGTGAGTATAAGGCTTTGGCCTAGAAATTTCGTCTGGATTTTAAAGAGAGAGCGGCAAATGAGGTTTAGTGTCCACACGACACAAGCTGGGTCAATTGGGTACAAGTCCGGATCAAAACCATCCCCACTGCGTTCAGTTTGAAGAACCCGTGACAATTGAATTATTTGACTCAATGACAGACCTTCCGATCCAATTTGCGCGTGTTAACCATTCGCCTCCCCCCCCCCCCTGGGTTCGGTTAAAAGAACCCTTGACAGTTGAAATATTTGATATAAGAGTAGGTTGAAGGGCAGAATTAATAACACAGAAAACTAGGATATTAAAACCTATTTGATCTCATAAGCAATGTAAAGGGTTTTTTGTAATTCGGTTATATTTGATCTACATTTTGTTTTCAGAAATGCCTATTAGATACTTTATGATTTACGACCAAATTCTACCTTCTTTATTATACACAAATTTCTGGAGAGAATTAAAATATAATTGTGTTCGGATATATTTAACATTAAACACAAAAAAAAAGAATGAAACAAAAATGGTTCAAATGCATTCTTTTCCAGAATTAAATTGATGGTGTAATATTCAAAAGGTGTGGTTGGGTTCTCTCGTTGTTATCATACATACTCTTCCAAGATTCTGAAAAAAGGAATGAATTCCATCATTTTATAACTTATGCAGGGGTTGTCAATATATAACACAATTTTATTAGTATTGGAATTAACTTTTTCTATCAACATTCCAAATGTCACAATAACTTATGCAGGGGTTGTCAATATATAACACAATTTTATTAGTATTGGAATTAACTTTTTCTATCAACATTCCAAATGTCACAATGTATAAATAAGCAATTTATTTTGCCACATCGAGACTGGGTCTCTATTTTGTTACAGCTTTGCATAAAACATATCATGTTTTGTCCAGTTACAGACCCAGGTAGATTATTATGCTCAAATGGGCCAGAAGACAGGACAAATGTCTTGAAATTTTTGATTAAAGTCAAATAATAGGGCAGCTATTCACCCAGATCAAACATGTATTGTGTCTCCAAATCTAGATTCCCTACACTTGAAATAGCAGAATACTAGGCATTGCCATAAGAAGAAAAACAAGCCAATAGGGAGGCTATGTCCCCCGCCGAAATCCCAAAATAAATAGATGACACATTTATTAATCGCACATTTATTTTTTTTCAAAAGTATCGAGCAATCAAACTATACATTAAGTTTCATCACTTAATGTTCAGGTAGAATGACATTATCTTGTCCCAAATTGATTAGCCCTGCTCAGCTTCAGCTCGAAATGTTAATCATTGAACTCGCACAAGACATACACCTAATGAACATCTACATCAAGTTTAAACATTCTACCTCAATTAAAAGCAGAGTTGTTATGTTCCACAGTCTTGACCAATCAAATTGCTTATCCCTCCTTGGCTTAAGCAGAAAATTCTCACCATCAAATTTAGTCAAGGTAATGGTATAATGAATCTATATTCTGAGTTTCATCACTCTCACTTAAATTAGAACTAAAGTTATCATGTCCCAAAGCATCAACCAATCAAATTACTTATCTCTGCTTACCATAAGCAGAAAATGCCCATCTTCGACCTACGTCAAGGCATTGACCTAATAAACACCTACACCAAGTTTGAACACTTTAGCTCAATTAGAAGGAGAGTTATTGTGTTCCAAAGTCTCGGCCAATCAAATTACTTATCACTCTGCTTACCCTGAGCAGAAAGTGTTCATTATCAAACTTAGTCAAGGTATTGATGTAATGAAACTATACACCAAGTTTCATCACTCTCACTTAATAAGAAATAATATTATCGTGTCCCAAAGCATCAACCAATCAAATTGCTTATCTCTGCTTACCCTCAGCAGAAAATGCTCATCTTTGAACTCCATCAAGGTATTGACCTAAAAAAAACACCTACACCAAGTTTGAACATTCTAGCTCAATTAGACAGACAGACAGACGAACCCATTTTAATAGTCCCATGCTTTCTTCGAAAGGCGGGGGACAACCCGACAACTAGATTACCAAGTGTATAGAGCCAATTCCTGTATGGTACTTACATTTTGCCTGATTATCAAGGTCTGCGAGAAAACGTTTCCACGAGAATATCTATTTCCAACTCTCTGGATCTTTCCAATGTGGTTAACTGAAAAAAAAAAAAACATACCATGTATTAGTTGACTTAAATTGACTAGACAGTTAAAAAATGAAAGTGTTAATATGTGTGATGTGTTGGTTTGCTTTGTCATTCAAAGATGAGATGAAAAAATGAAATGAAACGGGAGATTAGCGTCCTGCATCTCTGCTCCGAATTGGCTAATGAAGATGGGTATATGTCATACAGTGTGCTTTAAGGGAAATGTTGCCCGTTACCGTGGCGTTAAGGCCTACTCTTATATCGAATTCCAACTGCCAGGGGGTCTTTTACGTGCATAGCAATGTGTACATGGAACCTTAGTTCCAGTGAAGTTTCTCGGCCAAGATCGGGAGCAAACCCACCATCATCGTGCACATATATGTGCATGTACGTTCAGAGTTTCACTATACTAAACAGGGGGGTTGAATGGCTTAGTGGTTAGCACGTGGGCGCTGTATCATTAAGTCTGTCATTGAGTCAACTGGCGTAGTTTCGAATCCCCGGTTGTACGTGACAAGGATTAGGGTCGCCTGTCCAACCTCGTGGGTTTTCTCCGGGTCCTCCGGTTTCCTCCCACTGCTAAAGACACCTACGCGCAAGCGAATTATTGAAATAAAATTGAACCATATGTTAGTCCCGAAATGACCTAGTTTGTGTCGAGTGGGCGTTTAACCCCATTTCTCTCTCTCTCTCTCTCTCTCTCTCTCTCTCTCTCTACTAAACAGAAATGGAATTGAGTTTTATGTCACATCAGCTCAACCGAGATATATTATGCCAATGATGAGATTCTAAAATACCATAATGACAATCTTTTCTATTAGAATTGAACACTTACCCCTCCAAAACACCGAGCAGAAATCATGTGCTCTAATTATCATTTCAGCTCTTACTTCTTCCATTTTTTTGTGTTTTTTTACTTATCTTATTATACACATGTATGATCTTTTCCTTGGTGATTTGCTATGTCATCTAATATTGAAACTGAAAAAAATAAATACATGACATGTAATTAATTGCTAATAATATACTAACTGTGTAATAGGAAATTTAAACAAATCCTCTAAAAACATTTGAATCCTGAGAAACTACCTAAGCCGTATAAATCCATTTTATCAACTCGTGTTTGTCATGTGACTGGACTGTCACAGTAAGTAGAAGGGAGCCATTGTGGCTGAGTGAGTAAGGCGCTGGCTTGCTAACCAGTGTCAGCCGAGGAAGCTCATCTAGACTTTCTGGCATGGTTTCCCCTTGTCAGAGGTGCAGGGTGGAGGCCCTGACAAGGATAGCTGCCTAGTTGTTTCGAGGGAACAAAAAAGCGAGATCCCGTGTACACATTGGCTTGCACGTACATTGTAAATGTAAATTGTAATCTATCCCTTGGTAGTTGGAATTCGTTGGCTGTAGCACCCCTGTCACAGTTTGACCACCAATTTGTGATACCCTTAATTTAAATTTTTGTTCTGTGCATGCCCATTTTGGTTTAAGGGAATCCAGTTTTTTTCTAGTGATATTTAAGTCTGTATTTTCTTTATATGCAAATATGTGACTTGGAAAAGGGTCGCCTATCCAGTCTCGTGGGTTTTCATTCAAATGAAATTGAACCTTAAATGTTAGTCCAGAAATTACCTAGCACCAGTAATAGATATATTACCTATCCAACAAACATCAACAACAAATCCAGGTTTATGCAGAATTAAAATAACACAACACACAAAGATGGTAATAATAGAATGAGAATCCTCGGAAAGAAGGCGGAAACGGAACCGTCGGGCTTGATTCTAGGAGTAGGACATATTAAAATTAGCATGGGCCTACTTGATTCGACCAATTTAATACATGTATGGCATAGTTTGTGTCAAGTGAACTTTAAACCCGATTTCTCACTCTATTATTGGATATAACTACCTCGTATGCAGTGATACAAGGCCATTACCAATTTTCCATGTTCTTGACGTGAAGAAATAAAATAATAAAAGTCATCTTTTTATTATTCAATTGGATAAATACAATTCTCGGTGGTATGATTTGAATAAATACAACATATCATGAGTATAACTGATTTGAAGCTTAAATTATTATTTCTCGTACTTTGACAATAGACGACTGGGCATTTACAAATAGCTAACTACTCTTCATAAAGAAAATACATGAATAATAATTACCTTGATTTTATTGTTGGTCTTTGTCCCAATTCAGATTTCCTTTTAAAGCAATTAGACTGCACTATCGCTGCATCATATAGCTAAAATCTACTGCAATCTGAAAAATGGATAAAAATCAGTTGTATGTGTAGGTCAAGTCTGTTGTTTTTCAAAATGGCGTCCAGTGAACAACAGGGCGCAAAACAATCATTGTAATTCGGGACTGGCTAGAGTCGATAGTGCATCCCAATAATTATTATTTGAATAATTAATCACATAGAAAATCAATTATGAACATTAGATTATGATAGAATATTGAATTAGCCTACCTCAAATACCTCGAAATTTATTGTTTAATCTCCAGTTTGCCCGCCAAAACCATACGTCCTTCGGCAAATAAAAAAATAGTGTATAGTTGTTTAGGGTTTTAACCGAAACGAAAAATATTAATTCTAAATTTGCATTGCAATTAGGCAACATTGGATTAAAAAATATAACAAACCTCATATTCTTGTTTTCTCTGCATACTTTGTTGAAAACAATATCTCTGTTGGGGTTGGTTCTAACAATGCCGCTCGACTACATAATTAATCGATACACCACAACGCTTAAGAACGCGGTGGACTTATCAGCTCGATTCCACGGTGAAATCGCAAAATCCTGTCATAAATATTTCTAACTTTTTTTATCGAGTAATTTATTTTGATTGGTTCTTTTACAGGTAAGCAATAAATTTGCAAGTTCGATTAATAAACCAATAGAATTAAATAAAAAGATTCCATTCCGACATTTTCTAAAACCAAAATATCAGACTATTGTTTTAGTTTTCACATATTCAGAGAATGGTCTTTGATGTATCAAGTTTATTGGGCCAATATAATCAACCTCTAATAAGTGCAGACATTGTAATAACCGAACTGTGTCTGTGTATTGTCTGGGACAAGATTTGAAAATAAACAAAGGTTATAATCAGAATAATCTAATTAACATTGCGGACACACAACATTGCGATATCTACTTAACGTGTGTGATAATCAATATAAGATTTTAGAACAAATACAAATATTCTAAAAATCAAGTTAAAATTGGAAGGAATTCCTGAACATTCAAATTCAGAAAATGTGTTTTACATAGGCTAAGCCAGTTACCAGATTCCATTCAGATTTTCTCAATAACAATATTGATTGTTTAAAAAAAATAACATTATTACAGATAATAAAGTAACATAATAAATGTTATCTTAAAATTGGACGTAATTAATTATATGAAAAACAAAAAACACACAAGATTTTGTAAATCTAAACAAGTTTATGTTAAGACATTGAAAAGAACACAAACTGTCTGGCAATTTTCTGATTAATTGGTACTCACACCCTTCCAGTGAAGAACAGCGTTGTTATTTTCGGGATGTGAATTAAGCCCTTTATTACTTTTCTTAAACTTGTCGACTCCCGAATTCACACTTTGTATGGAGTTTGTTTTGGTTTTTTTTAAAGAAAACAAATCGTGGACGGTACACATTACTTGTGTTAATGATATGAAAAAACACACAAGATTTTATAAATCGACACAAGTTTGTGTTAATGCAATGCAAAACAACACATAACTTGTGTAGATTAGTTTTAACACAAGTACTTGTGTTGAGATCCAACACAAGTGTTTTTTCAGTGTGGGTAGAATGTACGGTTGCTGGCTAAATAATTCGGAGATAAAATTAGTTAATGTACATAATTTAATTCACGTGCAAAAAGTTTGTGATCATAAAATCGGCAATACTATATACCGGAAAACACCGGAAAACAACCGGAAAACACCATTTTATACTGAATACCGGAAAACACCGGAAAAACACTAAATACCGGAAAACACCCTAAATAGGTAACCCGGAGTCTGTCCTCTGTGTGCGGTTTTGGACCAAGTGAGCGCCGATGAAGGAAGGTCAAGGTCATTACGATGTTCGTTTTACAAAATTTTCTGTCACAAAAAAAAAAATCGAATTTCCGAAAAATTGGTTTTACAAAAAAACATTCCGTAGAAAATAATTTTACAGAGAAAAATACTGGGAAAAAAATTGATTTTTTTTGGGAGAGAAATTTGGGAGAAGAAATTGTTAAAAAAAATCTGAAAAGAAATTTTTCTTTGACCGTTAGGCGATCGCTCGCTTGTATGTTAATGAACTTATTTCATCAGCGCTCACCTGGTCCAAAACCACACACAAGGACCAAACTCCGCATTACTAAATAGCTACCGGAAAACTTAGAAGAGTAAACTGTGCCCGAGATTTTTTTTTAGAGAGCGCGCCGCGCCGCGCCGCTCCGGGAGGGATCATCGTCAGGGTGGGACGGGGGTGGAATTGTCCAGTCACGTGACGAACATAGATCTTCCGTTCCTCAACCCATATTATTTCTACAGTCTTTGTCATTAATCAAAAATTACGGGATGATATACGGAAATGCAGGTTTACTTTGAAATAGTGAAAATGATACTTTTCCATCTACAATCTTCAGATCAAAGGATGCAAGTTCTTACACAGTGCAGCATAATTTGTGCAACAGAAGACATCTCGAATATCGGTTGTCGGAAAAAACATTTTCTCGGGGACATTTTTTTTCCGAATACGCATTCGGTGTATGTCTTCAGCCACCAGGAAGTGGTTAACATAGTAATGTTTTATTACGATAGTAGTACATAAAACAAATTGGTTGCCTGACGTTCTCGGGGGGAAAGTAGCCTCATCGGCTAGAGTCCTCTATTTCACAAACAAAAACAACAATTGCTTCCTTGAAAATTTATCGATCAACCCTTTTCACAGACGTCCAGCTTACCACTTCCCGTCAATGCAGTAAGATAGAATATGTAGTTTTCTCATGGACAATTGGGCGAAAGTTGGGGTTTTCTCAAGGAAAACTGGTCAACTAGTTGGGGAAAAAAGCTCGAAAAGTAATCCAGAAAAAAATCCTGTGTGCAGCCCTCGGAATATGATGGAATATGTTGAATATTATTATGGTTCAAGTGATTATATTTGACCCTGGAATGAAAGTAAGCTCAGAAACAAGTAGATTTTTAGCCCTTCCAACGAGATGGATAGCTCTTGGAAGGGATAGACACTTTTCAGATTACAGCCTGTCCGAGAATTGCGTGGCATCTATTTCGTTTGGGGATTAGGACACATAGCGGTTAAACCTGGAACTTCAACTCGAACTATTCAGAGATTTATTAACTCGCTTTTGATGATATTTGCTGTTTTATGATGCGATTTTTTGTTACCTAGGGAAGAGTTGGCCTAATCGTGCCTTCCACTAATTCGTACAACCCTGATGCCAGCGTTACTAGTAAGAATCAGGAGACCGGCGCAACCGGCATATAACGGAGGTAGACTGATTGCGTCTTTTAAAACATTCAAAGCATAATAGGCATCAACAAGATTTTGGAGAAAAAAAAATCGGAAATTATTATTTATTTATTTTTTTTTGGGGGGGGGGGGGCTATTTGTAAAACGAACATCGTAATGACCTTGACCTTCCTTCCTCCAAAACCGCAAACAGAGGGTGTTTTCCGGTACTTAGGATGTTTTCCGTTATTTAGTGTTTTTCCGGTGTTTTCCGGTGTTCAGTATAAAATGGTGTTTTCCGGTTGTTTTCCAGTGTTTTCCGGTTGTTTTCCGGTGTTTTCCTGTGTTTTCCGGTGTTTTCCGGTATATAGTATGGCCCTCATAAAATTCAGATAAAATGATAATAATGATCACCAAAGCAAGAATTCTATCCTCTAAAACTAATTAATTCCTTACTTTTATAATCTTGCCTACATGCGGACGACGTTGACCTTAAATATTATTCATTGGAATGAGGGGATTCTTGTAAATTTAAAAATATAAATCACGTTATAGCACCTGTTGAAAAACCATTAACATAGGGCTTATTCGAACGCACCCATATCTATTTAGGCATTTTATTAGTTTATTTTATACCGTTATCAAACTATCTAGGTAAAACATATTGGTCAAACTAAATTATCTTGGACCTTCGAAGCAGCATGACATATAGATGTACCTTTCCTGTGTTTAATTTTACTTTGGCTTGTTATCTAAAGAAAGTATGCTTCTTGTTCGTTATGGAGGATTAAAGTTCATTAGGACAGATTCGAGTAAGCAGTTGCTATTAGAGGTTTACACTAAAGTAATTTCTCTGATAGACTTGGGGCAGACGTAAATTCGTATGCGCGGATCTTGTGTTTTCTTTTATGATTTACGATGTAAACAATACGCTTCTGCAATCCCCTTTTAAGTACATAAATCCATCAATGGGGAATCAGTATGGAGGAAGTCTTAAAAAGATATTTCCATTTATTTATGTATAATTCCGGATATATCCCAATCTCAAATTTAGCATGTTCTACTTAAAAGCTTTTATACTTATTAATGTTGAGTATTTCGTTTCGTAGTTTAGTCCGATATATATAGAACTTAGTTAAAATAATTACATGATTAATGAAGATCCATTAAACCAAGATTTTTGATATGTATTTTTATATTTATCTTTATATTGCTGCGATCTAAGATAGTATGAAAATGATTCCATATTATTGGTGAAAATGGGCAGAAAACAAAGAGATATTCTACACTTTCTATAGTGCAAAGTGTGTTATCTACTTTTCTAATTTTGAATAATTTATCATTTGTGAATATAATCCTATGGAGATATTTGTATTCAAAGTTCCTGAGTTTTATTCTAAGACATACAGTGTTTATTATTTTAAATATATTTTCTACGTCTAGATCGCTTAACTCTGTTTCTAGAATGTGTTCCCATTCTTCAATGGCTTTTGGCCTGCTAAACTTTGCTTTTATCCGGCTATCATAAATATCTTTTGAATCTACGTTGTGAAAATTTTAAATAAATTGATCTTTTTCTAAATATTGATTATCGATTTATTTTATCAAAATATTCACTAACGTACCAAATATTATTGTTAAACGGAACTTTTAAAAATATAATTTCATTATTAATCTTTATATTTGTATTATTCCAAATAATTTGATTTTCAGCTTGTGCAATGTTCTTTGTATGCGTAGATTTTATACCAGTTGGCATAGAGGTTTTTATAAAAGGGTGTGTTTAAATTTAGGTTTTTTGGAAAGTTGTAAGCAGGTAATAAATTTCCACCATATTCAGCCATAATGAATTCATATTGTATGAGCCATTATTTTTGTTCTGTATAAGAATATCTCGCTTTATTCTATCAGGTCCGTTCCATATAAATTTGTAAAATATTGAATTTAGTTTTTGAATAGTAGAATCCGATACTGGATTAACAGTTGCCGGATAAAGAATTTTTTTAAATACAACACGTTTTAATTATTTGTATTTTTCCAAATAAAGATTATTTATGTTTATCCCATACTTTTGATATTTGTCTATTTCAGTTATTTTATTTGTAATATTTAATTCACCGGTAATATGAGTGTCTTTTAAAAAATGTGTCCTGAGAATTTTTATGAATTTTTCGCATAAAAATATACCGGTTGATTTTAAT